CATCCAAAATAAAAGTTTTTGTTTACATAATATATGTGTGTATATTTAATATGTATATATAAATACACACAAATACACTATATATTTAGAAAATCTTTCCATGTGTTTCCATGTATATATTTATATTCATATAATTGATATTATATACAAATATTTTAAATGTATAAACTTAACATATTTTTCTTAAATATATACATGCATTTGTGTGTATTTATATATAGTACACACACATATATTATGTAAACAAAAAACTTATTTTGGATGCGATTGCGATTAATCTTTTGACAGCACTAATAATTACATATTTTACTAGGTGGCAGATTTGAATATATATTTAAACAAACTCAAAAACTACTTTTTTTCAAGTTTTAGATATTTTTTGTTAGAAATCGAGACTTCCATTTATGTACAGTCCTTGGTCATGAGAGAAACCTGGGGGGTATTCCAAAAAGCAGGTTATGTGACATACCCGGGTATGATTGAGGATAAACGAGTGGATAACCTCAGCTTTCGGTTCCAAAATCGGAGGTTAGGGGCATTTCTTACTTGAGGGCAATTTTATAACTACCTTATTAAAGTCAAGTCAAGTCAAGTCAAGTCTGCTTTATTGACTTGTTGACACATACACAAATGTATGTGTTGTTTTTTTTTTGTCAAATTTAACCATTTTCTTCAATCTATCACAATTACAGACTGCTCCCAATCTCATTTTTTACATCAACAAAAGCCTTCTTTACACTGCAAAGGTGTAACATCATGTACACATATTTAAACATAAATTGCATAATGTAAATAGCCTATAAAAAAAACAGGAATTCATTAAAGGGTAAAGCTGCAATATCATGAAAAAAAATCTTTATTTTTGATTATTGCTCTTGACATTGTAATAATGATCATTTATATCGATTAGACCTAATAAAGGGGAAAAGCATGAACCGTTTATGAATTCCTTTTTACAAATTGGACAATCAAGACTTTACATGTTATTTCAGTAGCATGAAAAACATAAGTTATTCAAACTGGGAATAAATGACGTAAAGAACACAGAAGCTCTCCAAGACTTCAGTCTAAAACTTTGACTGTGAATTATGCATTTTCACAAAAACTCTCGTTATAATTACTGAAGCCGTCTATGCTGCCCAATCGATGCCATTTCTTCAGTTTGTTGTTTATGCTGATGAGAGATTTTGCGAATGCATATTCATCAGACTTAATTCAATGAGCGCGCAACACTGAACAACTCCAGATGAGAATGACAAACCGCTTCAGATGATTCGGTACCAGCAGGGGACTAAACAAAACATTCAAAGTGATTCGTGAACCAATTCAGACCGTTTTGCAGGCTTGTTTGTTCAAGGCCTTGAACAGAATCGACTCGGAGTGATTCATTGACGATTGGGGCATCGTTCATGCCCCAGATAAAAGAGACAGCGCGCTTGGAATAAATGTCTAAACATGTATTGCATAAAAATTAAGTAACAAAAGGAACGGTGCCCAGTGTACATTCGTTAGAAATGTACTTGAGTTAAAGTAAATGTACCCATCTTTAATTCTACTCTTAAAAAGTACAAATTTTCCAAAAATGTACTCAAGTAAATGTAGCGGCGTAAATGTACTTTGTTACTACCCACCTCTGTACACCACAAAATATTAGCTATGGTTGCTGATACAAAGAGTAGCTCTATGAAGTCATAGCTGTGCTTTATCGTAAATGAAGCATGGCTATTGAAAAATCAGAATCGTGGACTAGAACTATCTCTTGAATAATTAAAATGAAGTTATGATTTTGTTGCAGATCTCAAACTCACTTTGGATACACAAGTCAGCTAAACGAATACATATGAATGCTATTTTTATCCACAGGGATGCCATTTCAAAGATGGATAATATTTGTGACAACAAAAAGATAACAATAGGGGTTTTTGGAAAATCTGGACAAGGAAAGAGCTCCCTGTTAAATGCAATTCTGGGGAAAAGGAATCTATTGCCATCTAGTTGTTTTGGTGCCTGTACATCTGTTGTTACTCAGGTGCAAGCCAATCTGAAGGACTCCAACTACATAGCAGAGATTGAACTCTTCTCTAAAGAGGTGTCATCATTTATATTCATCTTACCATGACTTTAATGAGAGTTCTTGACAAATATTTAGAAAAAAATCAGACTGGAGGGAAAGAAATAAAGTCTGATTTTCTATATTTACATCTGCAGGAGTGGGAGAAAGAGCTCAACGATCTTTTCAGAGTTTTGTTGGATGAAAATGAGGACAGGGATGAGGACTTGGAAACTAAAGTAGAAAAGATCACTGCACTGTATGGAGCTGATGCAGATAAGAAAACATTAGAAGAGCTCAAGAAAGATGACAAATATGCCGAGATTGAAAATGTTTTGTCTGGCAGTAAGAAAGCAATCTCAAACAGTGATGTAAGTTTTTAGGAGACTAGGGGCCAGATTTACTAAACAAGGCAAATTAGCGTGAGAGCACAATTCCTAAAAAGCGCAGATGTGGGTGATCTACTGACAATGGGCAAATTAAAAAACAGACGCAACATCTCATTTCCATAATGACCAACGCAATCGACCAAGAGCAGCGCAAATTAGCATAAGGTCGCAAACAACATAAAAATAACATTAGCTTGGCAAACAATATGTTTGAATGTCTTCCGATGGCATTCCAAATAAATTAAAATGAGTGAAAAAACTTCTCTCACTTCTTGTAATGCTGGGTGAACGAAGGCGAGATAAGGCAGATCCAAATGCAGTTAAGTTTAATAACAAAATGGATTAGCAACAAGCATGGGTACACAGGGAAACAAAGAGCTGGAGCAAATTAGGAAACTAGAGGCCTGTTTCTTAAAACAAGTTTACCAAACAATCCAGGCTTATTTCAGTTAGTCTGACTCACTGTCAAATGATTTGGTTCCATAAAGCAAATTCACCATAGCTCAAGCTCAGTCACTGTGGCAATTTATAAACTAACCTGGTCTGGAGCAGGCTAACTGTCAGGTTAAGCTGAGCTCCTCTAACTCTGACCAATAGGAACACATTGATATTACTGCTGACTCTCTCACATACAATTAGTTGACCTTATCAGTCCATAAAAGTATACAGACAATGCAACTTAAATAAATAAAAAATATAGGCTACAACCGACTGTATTTAATATATTGTGCTCAAGATTTAATGAATTTTTTTTAGATATATGAAAACATTTTAACATGCTGCTACTTGCGCATTCAGTTGATCATCAGTTTCTAGCCATGCAGCCTTTCTCTCTGCTTTTATGACAGCTGTACTTTATGGTTATTAGTAGAACATTAAAACATTACAATATAAAATTGCTCTTTAAAGCACTCAATTAAAAATGAAAATAAATAAAATACAGAGTACATTTTAACTGGTAAGAGGAACATAAAATAACTCATTTGAGCTAGTAATTAGGACTGTATTAGCTTTCATTTGATTTACCCATTACAATAGTCCCTTTACTGTTCCTGCTATCATCAAAATGCATTTATATGTAGGTTTAAAATTCTACACGAGGCACATTTAATGACCATCAACAAATATTTTTTGCAAAATGTATATTTTAATCAGAATTATTGCGCTCCGTCTACAACATAAAATCATTTGAGCTAGTAATTAGGACTGTATTAGCTTTCATTTGATTTACCCATTACAATAGTCCCTTTACTGTTCCTGCTATCATCAAAATGCATTTATATGTAGGTTTAAAATTCTACACGAGGCACATTTAATGACCATCAACAAATATTTTTTGCAAAATGTATATTTTAATCAGAATTATTGCGCTCCGTCTACTGCGCAGCAGCGCTTGTTCACTTCTGACAGCAAAATAGATATATTTGCATGACTTACAGATGAAGAATGTACCTGTGACACTGAGGAAAACGCAACATCTCAAATGCATTAAATAGCACAAATATATTCGCTGTTTGCCATGGTGGATTAATTTGATCCTTGATTGACATTAAGGGCTGCTTAAGAATAAGCGTGCACATCAAATTATCTTGACTCATTGAACCTGGATCAAATTAGTGAGATTGAACTTAAATTGTTGTTTTTGGAACTGCTTTAGCCCCGATTGATTTGTTAGGTTACTTCAATTCAAAATAAGAGTCTTTGAACACACAACACAAGACAGGGAAACACAGGCTAAAATCATGACACTTCTACGTGCTCTCTGTTCTCCAGTGCATCCTTCTGGCAGCAACAATCGTAGCCATGTCAAGCTCTAAATGGGTTAATACATGCTTTTTTGGGGGGCAGTAAATAATGGTGCAAATACCAGTAAATTGACTACCGCAAACCTCTACTTCCATACATTTTGCAACTGTAATGGAAAGTCCTACACATGCATAAGGTCAGCTGCAAAAATTACCGATTTTTCACTGCTTGTCTTTAGTAAATCCTGACAGTTGTTTTTTTTATGCCAAAAGAGAGTTTGCGGTGGTGCAAGCTGTTAGTAAATCTGGCCCTAAATATTTAGCACCTGTTTCATAACCATGTTAAATATAAAATGATGTATTCTGATTTTTTAAATTAACAAAATAAACAATTTATTTCATAAATAAACAGGTCTCTGCATTTGCCAATGATGTTGCAAGTTACATACAACACAGCAAGTCAAGTACTGGTCACTGCTACTGGCCACTTGTGAAGAGTGTGACGATCAAGATACCAGACTGTCGTGAACTCCTGGAGCACATTGTGCTTCTTGATCTTCCTGGGACTGGAGACTGCAACAAGATTAGAAATGACCTGTGGAAAACTGTAAACAATCCACCTTTTTAAATACTCTTTAAATATGAAAATTCTGTCATGATTTGCTCATCCTCACCCTCATGTCATTCCAAACCCGTATGACTTTATTTCTTCGGTGAAATACAACTGTAGGGTTTTGAATTACTGCACAACTGCTCTATTTCATGCAGTTATAATGAATGAGGACTGAGGCTTTCAAGATTTAATAAGGGAGCAAAAGGCACATAGGAAAAGCATAACAATGTCTCAAATGACTTGTGCACATAGTATAAGTCTTCTGAAGCCATATGGCAGCTTTGTGTGACAGACAAAAAATAGGTACTATGTACAAAAAGCTCTCCTTGGCTTGCAGCATTCACAAGAGAATGAGGTCTGATTCATGAAAAAATCATTCTGTTGAGTCATGAGGATGACAGAATTTTCATTTTTGGGTAAAGTGTTCCTTTGACAGTGGACTACTGTATCAATTCAACATAAACAAATGTGCAATTTAAAGCAGTACTACATGTTTGCCAGATATTCACATATTTTTATCTTTCTAATTCCATAGAAACTGAGAGAGTGCTCTTCTGTCTGGATTGTAAGTAATATCAATCGAGCAATTGATGACAGAGACCCCTGGGGGATAATACAGCACTGCATTCAAGACCTGGGACCAGGAGGAGAGTGCAAAAACATCAACTTCATCTGCACCAGAACTGATGACATTGATCCGGAGGAATATCTACGGTTAGAATAAAGAGATCTTTGTCAATCTGCATTTCTTTCAACATAAATTTAATAACATTCTAAGAATTGTTTTTACTTCTTTTAAAATAATGTAATGTATTTTATTTATTTTAGATCTGTACCTGAACTCTCTGAAGACCAAAAATCTTCAGACAAGGTTTGGTAAATTTACAATCAAATACACCATCTTTAATTTCAATGCAATTAAAAGGCTGCAAGTCTGATTTAGGAAGGCAGTTGCTGTTTCTAATTGCTAAGAATTAACAATGGATTGCTCTACAAAAAGCCAGAAATGCCTGATCTGACTCACAGGCTAACTAACTCTGATATCTGTATAAGACGCGCTTCATCTGATTTGTATAATCGTTTGCTGTTTTTTCAGAAACTGAAGAAAGTGTGCATACTTCATAGAAACAACTGTGCAAAGAAAAATGTGAAAAGGAAGTTTGAAAATCTTGAAATCACGGTATATATGTGAACTCAACATTCTTATTCTTATTCTTAATACTTATTCTTAATTCTTATACTTTATTCTTATTTTTATTCAGAAATCAAAAGTCAGTTTCATCACTGATGTTTTCACTGTCAGCTCCAAGGCATACTTAGATACAAATCTACATCTGGAACCTGTTGAAACAGGTAATCAAGTGAAACTGGAAACTCTTATTACTCTCTATTCATTTAAATATTGAATTTTGCCAATTTTCTGTAGAAATCCCAAATCTGCAGGGCATTCTGAAGAGAACTAACAGGAGAATTAACCGAGAACTGACCAGCGATTGTGTCAATGAAGCAAATGGAGTTTTGTCCTTCATCCAAAGTGTCCAACTACATTCAGATAAAAAAATGGTATGAGACAGAATTTCTGATATTTCACTTACAAATGTCTTCTGAAATCAAATCAGTCAATAGGTTTTTACAGTAATTTACTGCTACATTTCTTTGTGTTTTAGGGGGAGATACAAGCTGTAGTCAAGGCTTTGCAGAAGAACCTAGCAAAGGCACTGAATGTGTTGGATCATCAGCTTAACTCACTTTATAAGATCATGGATCAATGTCTCTCAAAAGGAGTGGAGAAATCAGTGGAACTGTGTGTTGGCACCAAAAACGCCATGATTGCATCTGTAAGTATAATTCTGTTGAATGTTGAAGAAAAGCCATTTTCTGGGCTTTCTAACTGCAGTCATATTTTTGCTTTCTGAGTCAGGTTACACCTGTAGATAAAAGGGGATTCCATAAAATCCTTCACACATTGTACAAGAACAAAGGATACGTTTGGCAGAAGAACTGGGATGCACCCCTAGATCTAAACTTGTGCTTGGCCAAACACATGCACGACAACATGGATGATGAGTTTAGTTTAATTTTTCCGTAAGTTCTGCTGTCATTCCCTATTCACTGTACCTTCAGCTGAGAAAAACAACAACAAAAACAATTTACAGTGTTAGAGCATATATTTCAACAGTGTATTGAAATATATAAGCATATCTACATCAGCTAGTGGCATAGATATGTATATAAATATATAATCAGCACTGTTGTGGGTGGTGGTATTTGTACTGACACAAAATTACAACATAAACTAATTGTAAAACTTATGATATTCAAAGGCATTTAAGACAATAATGCAGATGAGCAGAACAGTCTAGATGTACCCATTTGGTCTTGTGTCATTTAAATTCTACTTTTTTTCATTACTACAGTGTTGATGCCAATAACAAAACAGGAATGTCAGTGCAGGAACAGATCGATAAGTTCAGTATCTTCCAAAGGTGCACTGCTTACCCACAATCTTCCATTCTATACCACATGGAAAACTTCATCAGAACAGAGGTTGGTTGCCTTTTTTATTTTTTTTACTTCTGTTCATTTATGCATCATCTATCTACAGGTAACTCTATTCCAATGAATGATTACTAATGTGCAAGCAACAAAATGTCTTTATAGCAAATCTTTCACTGACTCAAAAACATCCCAAGTGGCAAAATGCAAAGGCCTTCTCGAGCAGAAATGCTCTTTTCTGTTAAATACATTCCTTTAAAAGAGTGAAATGCAATTTGGTTGCTGGGCACTCACTTTTGCTGTGTTGCCAGTATTTGTAGTTCTGTTTCTAGTTCTGATCTGTTGTTTTTTTCCTACCAAAATGAAATCCTGTTTTATACCTAGTGTGAATTATTTTATTTTCAACAACAATGACCATAGCATTTATACTTACTAATATATTTAGTACATAATAATAATATAGATTAATACTTATCTGCTTTAACCTCCTGATAAGGAAACCAAAGTGAAGGCATTGCTCAAAAGAGAAGTTGTTCAGAGAAAGAAGGAAATCTACTCCTCAATCCAAAGAACAATTCAGAATCAAATGACTGCTGGCTATGAACGTAAGGAAGCATTTAAAGCAACACACACTAATTTCAATTTATTTAACTGTTGCCCACATGAGGTTGTACAAACCCCATGACACATTTGTTAGTTTTAAGACCTCAGATGAGACCAGTTATCACATTTTCTTCCTTATACGTTTTTTTTTTTCTCTCAGAGACGTTCTATGTTCGTATTGCCTATGTTAAAGAATATGAATGAATATTAAATGTTACATATTACAGTAGCTGCAAATGAGAAAGGACAAGGAGCCATGGAGAACAGGGAGAAAAAAATAACAGAAACAATTGAACTGTTAAAATACAACATGTTCAAAGATGCAAAAATGGAAGTTCTGAAGAAGTTCAAGGACTTAAAGGTATTTGCATTTCACAAATTCTCAATATTGTTTAACATATTTCTTGCTTCTTTCTGAAAATACTTGCAAACATCACAAAACTGTCTTTTTTTCTATATATCTTGACTATGTATTTTCTGTTGATTTTTTCTAAAGGATCTTATATGCAAGACCCTTGAATCTACACTAAAGAGATCACTAGAACACACACAAACCACAATAACCACCCTGATGGGTAAGAGAGAATTAAACAAGAACAGTTTTTAGAAATGATCTGATGCATAGTAAAGTACTTGAGTGATTACTTTAAATACTCACAAACATTAAGACTTAATACTTTAAAATCAGGCTGAACACCCAGTAATATGTCTTTTTTTTTTCTAGACGTCTCCAAAGAGATTGAAATCCTGGAGAGCCTGTCAAGGCAGGTATTTAACTGAGGTCATCATTTAAAAGCAAGGACAAGAGAAACGGCATCTCAGCATTTTTCAGTAAAAGTTATTTTTAGGATAAAGGTATTTGTATTATAAAGCATGCTTAAAGCTCTATTATTATGATTTTTTTCCTCAATCCTTTAAATTGTTGTACCAAACTTTTGACTCTGTAACTAAACGCATAAGAAAAACTATTTTGAGGTGTACACTACTGCTGTTATTGAAGAATACAACTAAACATAGGCTAAAGTAAAATATTAAAATGAATACTATGTTACTTCATATGGATTGCAACTTGCTTGTAGTTCACTGATTATGATTAAGTTTGAATTCTAAATCCAGTTAAAACACACTGAGAAGCAGTAAGGTGTGCGGATCATTTATTTTGTATATACACCATACAGGGCTGGCCCAAACCTTAATGGGGCCCTGAGTAGAATTTTATTTGGGGGCCCCTCGGTGCCGCCAATACGACTGATTATTGTCACTGTTTGATTATTCGCACACTATAAATCTAACACAGCCATTATCAGTTTTATTTGTTGTATCTGTATTGTTTTCATCATACCAATGTCTGCTTAGCATGTTTTTACCCTTCTATGATTTTTAATTATATCAGTAGCAAACCCACAAGAGTGGTCAGGTGTTAATTTGCACATTAACATTTAAAGTCTTACAGTACTAACTGGCATACTTAATGTGGTGTACTGAAAAGTAGCTAAATAAACCAGCAGACAATGCATTGGAACAGAATGTTATTTCAACAACATAAATTATTAAACACAGCAGCAAGCCATCTGTACATCTTAAACAACTCTTGATCTATAACTAGCTAATTGAGGCAAAGACCCCAAAGGTAGGATAATGTAAATAATGTTAAGCTGTTATCAGTACCAAGTTTATGACACAGAAGCTTATTTTTAATACCCAGGAAAGTTATTTTTACACAGAAGACAACAACTTTAATCTAAATCTAGCTAAGTAAAATGTTATATTATAATATATTAAGATGTCAAGGCTATTTATGGATGTTTAATCAAACATGAACTTACCTAAAACAAGAAGATACCCTAGCTAGGCTATATGCTAATAACTAGCCAGCCAGGCCCGGCGCTTTGCTTTGAGCCAGACAGACGAGCTTCATATATCACAACTGTTCAGTGTTTTCAACCACATTAAGTTTATTTTAGACATTTCAATTAAGTACTAGCAAAAAAGACAATTATATTTTGTTAAATACACACTGATTTCTATGGAAAGCGGCAATAATAATTCTTTCAATTAAAATTTGATGACAAGTTTTATTCCTATCAAATACACATTGTGTGGGTAACTATAAAGTTTACTCTGTTTTTCTCCCAGTTCACTGGCGACTTACTTACATTTAATACTTTTTATGGCCTTAAATCTGAAACAGACCTCATGGGGCATCCCTTTAGTGATGAATGTCGAAATGGCCGGTATGTGCTCTTCTGTGCCGTTGTGATTTAATGTGCTGTGTAACGTCATTTTCCCCACCATGTCTGATATTAAAATCAGTACGACAAACTTTGCAAAAGGCATGTGCATTGTCAATATGTCTTCCGAGATACAAAATGAAATTCTTCCGTCCAGCTGTTGTTCCACCGGAGCACCACCTGGGGGCTGTTTCTTAAAACAAGTTTACCAAACAATCCAGGCTTATTTCAGTTAGTCTGACTTATTGTCACTTGATTTGGTTCCATAAAGCAAAATTACAATAGCTCAAGCTCAGTCACTGTGGCAACTTATAAACTAACCTGGTCTGGATCAGGCTAACTGTCAGGTTAAGCTGAGCTCCTCTAACTCTGACCAATAGGAACTCATTGATATCACCACTGACTCTCTCACATACAATTAGTTGACCTTATCAGTCCAAAAATAAAAGTATGCAGAAAAGGCAACTTAAATCAAATAAATAAAAATATAGGCTACAATCGACTGTATTTAATATATTGTGCTCAAGATTTAATTTTTTAAGATATATGAAAACATTTTAACATGCTGCTACTTGCACATTCAGTTGATCAGCAGTTTCTCGCCATGCAGCCTTTCTCTCTGCTTTTATGACAGCTGTACTTTATGGTTATTAGTAGAATATTAAAACATAACAATATAAAATTGCTCTTTAAAGCATTAAAAACACTAAATTAAAAGTTAAAATCACTAAATTAAAAATGAAAATAAATAATAGAAAACAGACTATATTTAACTGATAAGAGGAATAGGCTACACATTAACTCGTTTGAGCTAGTAATTAGGACTGTATTAGCTTTCATTTGATTTACAGTTACTGCTATCATAAAAATACACATATATGTAGGTTTAAAATTCTACATGTGTCACATTTACTGTCCAGCAACAAATATTTGAGCAAATTGTATATTTTACTCAAAACTATTGCGCTCGCGCTCCTTTTAGCGCGCATGCGCGCAGCAGCGCTCGTTCACTCGCGTAAGCCTCGCCCACTCCTGACAGCAAAATGGATATATTTGCATGACTTTCTAACATTTACAGATGAAGAATATAACTGTGACATGTCAGTTATGCACTGAGGAAAACACAACATCTCAAATGCATTAAACAGCACAGATATATTCGCTGTTTGCCATGGTGGATTAATTTGATCCTTGATCGACATTAAGGGCTGCTTAAGAATAAGTGTGCACATCAAATTATCTTGACTCATTGAACCTGGATCAAATTAGTGAGATGGCGTGAACTTAAATTGTCGTTTGTGAAAGCGCTTTAGCACCAATTGATTTGTTAGGTTATTTCAAGTCAGATTTTGGACTTTAATCCGTGCTTTTCTAAGGCCCTGTCCACACGAACGCTGTTATTTTCAAAACAGCAGCTTTTTCTACGTAGTTTGGCCGTTCGTCCACACGCAAACGCAGCACCAGTTCACTGA